CAGCAGCAGCTGTGTGTGCAGCAACAGCTGACCATGGTGCAGCTGTGTGCAGCAGCAGCTGTGGTGCAGCAACAGCTGACTGGTCCAATTTATCAGCTGACCGTGGAGCAGCAGCAGCTGACTGTGGTACGATAGTATTTATCACCCTTTTTACCACAGGTTGGCACTAGAAGCTTTCTTTGGCCATGGTGGCTTATTTAGCAGTTACAAGCACTATAAATAATGGAATAATACAAAATGTATCGAATGTATGCATGCAACCGGCCACCCTGGCTTGTAAACAATGACGGCAAGGCAGGCGCTCAGGCTGGACGACAGGTTCGGGACGAGTCATGTTCAGAAACAGCTGATGGTGCAACAGCAGCTAACCGTGGTGCAGCAGCAGCTGACTGATCCAGCACACTGACTGATCACACAGCTGACTGATCCGCAACAGCTGACTGATCCAGCAACAGCTGACTGATCCAGCAACAGCTGACTGATCCAGCAACAGCTGACTGATCCAGCAACAGCTGACTGATCCAGCCAACAGCTGACTGATCCAGCAACAGCTGACTGATCCAGCAACAGCTGACTGATCCAGCAACAGCTGACTGTCCAGCAACAGCTGACTGTCCAGCAACAGCTGACTGGTCCAGCAACAGCTGACTGTCCAGCAACAGCTGACTGATCCAGCAACAGCTGACTGGTCCAGCAACAGCTGACTGTCCAGCAACAGCTGACTGGTCCAGCAACAGTTGACTGTCCAGCAACACTGACTGGTCCAGCAACAGCTGACTGGTCCAGCCACAGCTGACTGGTCCAGCAACAGCTGACTGATCCAGCAACAGCTGACTGTCCAGCAACAGCTGACTGATCCAGCAACAGCTGACTGATCCAGCAACAGCTGACTGATCCAGCAACAGCTGACTGGTCCAGCAACAGCTGACTGGTCCAGCAACAGCTGACTGTCCAGCAACAGCTGACTGATCCAGCAACAGCTGACTGATCCAGCAACAGCTGATCGTGGTGCAGCAGCAGCTAACTGATCCAGCAACAGCTGACTGGTCCAGCAACAGCTGATCATGGTGCAGCAGCAGCTGACTGATCCAGCAACAGCTGACTGGTCCCAGCAACAGCTGATCATGGTGCAGCAGCAGCTGACTGATTCAGCAACAGCATGACTGATCCAACAACAGCTGATCGTGTGCAGCAGCAGCTGACTGTGGTATGATAGTATTTCTCACCCTTTTTACCACTGTGTTAGCACTAGAGGCTTTCCTGGGGCCCATGGTCACTTATTTTGCAGATGAAATCACCAAAAATGCTGTAATAATACGAAATGTTCCAATTGTATGCTTGGATGTTACCGCGGAGGCTGGCTTGTAAACAATGCCACCGGCGAAACATGAAGCTGGCTCAGGCCGCCCATTAGAAGCGTCCCGGACGAATAGCGTCGAGCGAGTTTTTTAGCGGTATGCGAGGCAAAATTTTAGTGATAAAATGTATCGGTATGCGGATTTAACGTTATGTGATGCCAACGGTATGCGAGGGTCCACTGTATATATATATGTCAAACACGGTACCTCGTAAACGTATATATACGCCGCGACAGTCAAAGGGTTAAAGGTAGATTACATGCACAAAGAATGAACATTCAACATGACAGTTACCTTTATTGAAGGCAGTTGTTGATGAATGGAAAACAGGGAGGAGGAGAGAGGGAAGAGAGGTTATTGTTTGGAAGGGGAATCTCCATCCATAAGGACTCTAGGTCACTTGAGGGGTCACTTCCCTAGCTTAACCCTTTCAGGGTCGGCAGGCCCTCTCCTAAGCTTGTTCTCAGGGTCGAAATTTTTGGGAAAAAAAAAAATTATTTTTCTCGTGAAATGAAGAGAACCTCTTCCTGATCATAATGACACCAAAATTATGAAATTTGATGAAAAACTTACGGAATTATGCTCTTGCAAAGTTAGTGGTCTCAACGATGTTTATGCATGGGCGATTTCGCCCACTTTGAGCCCTACTTTCGGCCAATTCCAATGTACCAGTCAACAAAAATCATACCTATATCGCTAGAACTCCATTTTTTCTATCGAATGAGTACAAGAAACCACCCATTTACTGATTTCAACTATCCAATAAAGTGGTCAGAAATTTGCAATTTGTCAATTCACACAAATTTCAAAAGATGCCAATTTACAAATAGGGTCCAGAATAAACAAGACAGACATTCCTGGCACTAAAATAACATTTCCTCTGTTAATTACTCACATCCCCAGGCCTCTGTTCCATTTCTTTTGCTTTCCACTTGAATTTTTATTCTTACAAAAAATAGAAGATTTATGTTATGCAGCCTACTGCATTAGTGTAGAAATGGTATAAATAATATCAGCGCACTTGTGAAAGAATATTAGACTCACCAGTTGACGTGCATTGACGCATGGCATGATTTGTTTTACCTTGAACTTTGGCAAAAATCGAACATTTCTGCTACTTTGAGCTCAATTTCAAGATACTTTTCCATTGTGAAACCAATCAAAGTCATCTCAATTTCCCTAACATGTCTTCCATTCTATAAAATGAGACCAGAAAACAAGAATACAACCATAAATAGCACATGAAAATACACTGCAAATTCGCTGTTTTAAACCCTTTCGGGGTGCAGAGGCCAAATTTCAATGTGCGCACCAGGGTCCAAGAATTTTAAAAAATAATTTTGCTATTTTTTCTTATGAAATGATAGAGAATCTTTTTCTGAAGGTAATAAAAAAAAAGTAAAAAATTTGATGGAAAATTGACGAAATTATGCCTTCGCGAATTTTGATGTGTCAGCGATATTTACGCATCGGCAATTTTGCCGACTTTGACTCTCATTTTAGGCCAATTACCATATTCCTGTCGACCAAATTCTTAGCTATTTCACTAGTATTACTTCTATTTTATCGAATGAGCCCAAGAAATGATCAAGTCAACTGTTTCAACTACAAAATAAAGTGATTGGAAATTGGTAATTTGGCCAATTTAGTGCAAAGTTCAAAATATTCCAATTTCAAATAGGTTCCAGAATAAACAATGCAGGCATTCCTGGCACTAACTAACATTTCCTCTGTTCATTAGTTACGTTTTCAGACTTTACAAATGAAATCCATTTTGATTTTAATTCACAAAATGAATTTTTATTCAGACCAAAAAATAGAAGATTTACTGTCATGCAATATTGTAATAATTGTGTAAATAATATCAGCACATATGTGAACATATATTAGACCCACCAGCTGGCGTGTATAGATGTGTGAGGTCATTTGTTTACTTTTTAACATCGGCAAAAATTTAACATTTCCGCTACTTTTGAGCTCATTTTCAAGCCGTTTTCCGTACAAAATCAATCAAAATCATCTCTAATTCTGTAATATATCTTCCATTCTATCAAATAGACCCAAGAAATCGCAAAAATACAACTTTAAAAAATATACCAAAAAAAAAAAAAACACTGCAAAGCCGCCTGTTGTAATAGAAAATTACGGTCACGGTTTTTTTCTCTCATTATGTACTGTGTGCTGCAGGATTTGTTTTATAAGGTGCACACATACCACAGATGTATTCTCTCATATCTAGGTCCAAATTTACCATTCACAGTTTATCAGAGTGAGCTGAGCTCATGGCTTAGATCTACAGTTTGGACCCTCAACGTAAAGCTGTAGATCTATGGCACGGACCCTGAAAGGGTTAAACCAAAAACATGGTCAGTTTTTTTTTTTTTTCTCATTATGCACTGTGTGCTGCAGGATTTTTTTTATACTGTGCACACTGACCACATAGTCCCATTCTTTCATATGTAAGCCTACCAGCTTTCTCTCTCTAGATTTGAAGGCACTAGAATTTATGTGTACTAGTACGGCACCAACCCTGGCGTGCAAGCTGTACTAGTACGGCAAGAACCCTGAAAGGGTTAAATATAGATTTACATGCAGAAAAGAACGCCAAATAAATGTTAAGCACTAATAAAAAAGTATAAATGAACATTTAACATCACACTTGCCTTTTCTGAAGACTCTTGTGGTGTATGGCAGAGGGGGCCCAGAGGGAGGGGAGGCGAGTTTATTTTGGGAGAATATGACACAAAATATCAACTCTATGGCTTATTTATCTATCACAATTCAACTAATAGACATAATAAACAATATTAATAACACTGAAACATGGAATATACTCTAGAATGAATAAAATAAGTCTTCATGAATGTCACAAGATGTGTTGTGTTGTTGTTGGGTGTATAAGGGCCACTGAGAGCACAAGCCGTCCATAATGGTGGTGAAGCAGCAGCTGAGGTGGCGGTGTTTTCTGTAGCCCTACATAATTCCAACAACATTGGAGGAGTTGGTAGAATTGCTGAATCACTGAAGAAGGCACCCTCTACCACCATCACAACCACTACCACCATCACTACCACCTTCTACCACTATCACAACTGCTACCAGCATCACTACCACCCTCTACCACTATCACAACTGCTAGCACCCTCTACCACCATCACTACCTCCCTCTACCACTATCACAACTACTAGCACCCTCTACCACCATCACTACCACCCTCTACCACTATCACAGCTGCTACTACTCTACCACCATCACTTTCCTATTCATCTACAAACTTTTTCTTAAGTTGTGTGTTTCTCACATTCTTTACCAAAGGGCTGGCACTAGAAGCTTTCTTTGGAGCCATGGTGACTTATTTAGCAGTTGTAAGCACTAAAACGAATGACTATTTGCAAGTCAAATGACGATTCACGAGTCTATGTTTTGACAAAAATGACGCTACGATTTTCGAAATTACGACTTTCGAGCCTTTAAACAATTATCGAGGTCCACTGTACGTACTGTGTTACTTTTGCAATGACCAAGCTACTCAATTTTGGGAGACTAAATGTAATTCAAAATATGTATGATAGCTAATGATACATAACAAAAGCAACTACTTATTTTTACAACTGGCCATATATAATTTTCGTCCAGTGTTTTTAACTGACCTTGTTGATACGATGAAGGCTGACTACTAGAGTATACTCCTGATCTGCGTGAACTTCAATCCAGTCCTTGTCTTTCCGGTTCTCCACTGTGCAGAAGGTAATAAAATATGTAATCAAAGTAACACTTTATATGTTTTCTTGAAAGAGTAAAATTTTCTATATCTCTATGTCTACACTGTTTAGTTATAAAAAAATACAAAATATATTACTATAGTTGCTAGAAGCAAGGGCTTAGTAACCCCTTCTCCTGCATAAATTATTAAATGTAAAAAGAAAAACTTTCGTTTTTCTTTTTAGGTCACCATGCCCTAGTGAGAGACAGCTGGTGCATTAAAAAAAAAATATGTATAGTCTTACCAGTAGTCCTAATATTAATTTTGGCATCAGTTTGGTTTTCAGAGTTGTCCCACCATCCTCTTACTACCACACTAACACTCAACATTGGTAGTTGCTGAAGAGTTTTAAACACATTCTCAATCTGTCCCTCATCCAGTTCCTGACGTAACATTCCTGCCAGCCTTTCGTATTTCCCACCAACAATGTGCACCAGCTCCGGCAGACACTGGATGTTGTTTCCTGCATGTCTATGGAAAAGATAAATTGACAAACATAAAATATTTGAATCATAATAACCACACACTTCTGGCAAGAATGAGTGATTATAAATTTGCTCTCTTCTTTGGGGGTCACCCTACGATGGTGGAAATACCAATAGTTGAAAAGGAATTTATTTTTTCCTTATTTGTACCAGAAGTTATTTACAATATTTTAAGATATGCAATTTTTTGCTGAGAACATATAAGAAAAACCTGCCATTAATTTGCTTTGATATTCCACTGATGCCTTTTTCTTAAATATCATTTACATTGTAGTACCACTTCATACAGTGAGCTAGTTTCTACTTGGTTAACCAATACTAGCTTACTGAAGCTATCATCATTCTTTCCATACAAGTGCTATTATTAACATCATGAAGAAGGGTTAAACCTATACAGGTTATATAGCACCTGGGAAATAGATGGCAGTCAGATCTGATTAAAGAAAAAGGGAGGGCAGCTTTAATTTGTTTTACCAACAGAATGTGTCTAGCATCAAGACACCTACCTCCCTTGAAGAGTAAGCAAGTGATAGGAAAGCCATAACAAAAAAATGTTAACAAATGTTTAATAACTAAGTGAAATGGTTTTGCATACTGAGGAGGCATACTAGTGTCTGAAGAGGACTATACAATAGATACTTTTTATAAGGAAGGAGGAAATAAAAAAAAGAGAAATTTATGACAATTTTCCCCTTTGTAAATAATAGTGTGTCATATCAGTAAAAACTACAGAGAAAAAAAAAGAAGTCTCATGAAACTGCAAAGAAAGTTAAAATTTAAGTGAAGAATGAGAAAACAATTGTTCATGGGAAGTAGCAAGAATAATGATATTATTTTCTGGGTGTAAGCTCCTACATATCTGTAGCTGGTGATAATTTTACTTCACTCTATACACTCTAATAACACAGTCAGATTATCTGCTTGACTTACTTAAAACAGTACAATGTTTCAGAGATGATGTGTGGGAGAGTGAGGAGAGAGTTGTCTGTATGCCAGCGTGCCTGAGTGATCATCTGCATTAACACTTGTACCTGCAGAGATGATGCTAACCATCCTGCACATCCACACATGTCCAGCATAGCCTAAAATATGAAAGACAAAAATTAAGTGACTAGGGTGCTCTTCAGAGACTACTACTCTGCTTAGTATGACAAGTGAACCACTAAGACTTGTCATTCCAGTTTCTTACCCTAATTTAAAATTACAGGCAGGTCCCACTTTACAGCACTTTGCTGTACAGAGTTTTGTTAATACAGTAGGGCCCCACTTATACAGCAGGTTAGGTTCCAGGCTACCGCCTTAGAGCGGAAATTGCCATAAAGTGGAACACCCTTTTTTCCCCTTAAAAATGCATACAAATACTAGATAACAAGTTTACACTAACATATATTAAGTTAGCAATAAAACTAGGCATCAAAAAACAAAAAAAAAATTAAATTCACACATAGAGCACTCATTACTTACCTTAACCCTTTGACTGTTTTGGTCGTATATATACGTATTATGAGCCACTGTTTTTGACATATATATACAGTGGTCCCTCAATAATCGTCCACAATCCGTTCCTGGAAGTGGGACTATTATCGAAATGGACGATTTTCGAATCAATTTTCCCCATAAGAAATAATGTAAATCCAATTCGTTCCAGACACCCAGAAGTATCAACAAAAAAAATTTTTTTTTACCTAAAAGAGATTTACATGCACAAAAGAATGTACATTCAACATGACAGTTACCTTTATTGAAGGCTGTTGTTGATGAATGGAAGACAGGGAGGAGGAGAGAGGGAAGAGAGGTTATTTGGAAGGGGAATCCCCCTCCATAAGGACTCTAGGGCGCTAATAAAATGTATAAATGAACATTGGTAATAGGGGTAGTTGATGAGTGGAACGGTCTGCCTAGTAGGGTGATCGAAGCTAAAACATTGGGTAGTTTCAAATTTAGGTTGGATAAATACACGAGTGAGAGGGGTTGGATTTGAGTCAGACTTCCACCTGAGCTTATTGCTTGGGTAGCATTTGTTCTGTTAGTGGGTTGGATTTGTGAAGGACCGGCCCAATATGGGCCAACAGGCTTATTGCAGTGTTCCTCCTTTCCAATGTTCTAAAAGCTATGGCTTGGGTAGTTTCAAATTTAGGTTGGATAAATACACGAGTGAAAGGGGTTGGATTTGAGTCGGACTTGCACCTGAGCTTATTGCTTGGGTAGCATTTGTTCTGTTAGTGGGTTGGATTTGTGAAGGACCGGCCTAGTATGGGCCAGCAGGCCTGTTCCAGTGTTCCTACTTTCTTAAGTTCTTATTTAACATCACACTTACCAGTAGGGTGATCGAGGCTAGGACCTTGGGTAGCTTTAAGAAGAGATTGGACAAATATACGATTTGGAGAGCTGAGTTTTGATTTGTGTCCCTTGGGTACGGGAGTAAATTCTTGGGTAGCTTTGGGTGGAGGTCATTTTGATAAGGACCTGCTTTGTATGGGCCTGTAGACCTGCAGTGTTCCTTCCATTGTTATGTTCTTATTGGCTTGTTGTGGAGGGAGGGATGAAAGTT